GATCCCTCAATGGGACCGACCTTATGAGTATCTGAGGTTAACTGTACTAAAGTCACTTGCAAAGCTTTTCTTAGCATTTCAGTGGGATCAAATTCATCCTTTGATTGCCAGAAAATCCTTTATGTGTGCTACTTCACTTTGTGCATCCTTTTAGATATGTGAACTGATCTTACTATGTAATGCTATAATACGTCTGTTCTGAGGATGTCAGTGGACTTCAGAAAACATGAAATCTCACAGCTTGTCTGTAACAATACTAAGTGCTTTAGGTTTCATAATATAGCTGAGAAAACTGTGGCAAGGACAACCCCCTAAGACCTACTAAGAATCCCATGAGAAAATATTGCCATTGAGTCATTAGTAAATAGCAGGTGTGGGCTGGATTAAGGACTCCAGTCCAGATAGTCCAGAGACTTGTCTTTTCTCTGAAGTATGGGCTGTTGACAAATGTAAATTTTTTGGGGGGAGGAATAGCCTAAAAATAAGGAAAAAGCTACGCTGAAAATTATTGGTTGACTTCATGCAGCATGAACATTTGTATCTTTTGTTTAAAAAAAAAAATCTCATGTCTTGTATTTCTAAAACATTTTAATCCATGTTCCTTTATTAAGGAGCAATCCCTTTGTGACAAACAGTAGTTGATCTGTTTTGTGGTGAACCATTTCTTAATGATAATAAGCTGATCCAAACAGTTGCTCCAAATTCATGGTACCAGTAGCTTTATGTAAACACTATGGAGGCATAAAAATGACAACGTTGGTATGGCAGTTCTGCAAGGCTGCTGCTTTTGATTGATTCTCTGAAACGTTTCTGATGGCATGGTTTTGGTTTTATCTCATCCTGATTTCGGCTGAGATAGAGTTAATTTTCTTCCTAGCAGCTGATATAGTGCTGTGTTTTGGGTTTAAGATGAGAATAATGTTGATAACACAAAAAGCTGAAGACCTCAAGTTCAACTTGATATTTATACAACTGGTTGCACGCAGGCAGCAGTACCGTAGATCTCCCCGTACTCTGTCATTTTTGTGTGTCGCAAATGGTCTTGAGGCATGGTTAAAAGGAGAAAGGGCAGACTTGTTCTTGACCCTTCTCTGGAGGTGAGCAGAGACGTGTCATTAACGTTGTTGTTATAACGCTGTTGGTGTCTGTGGTTGCCATTGGGAAGGAGCCTGGGGTCGTGCAGACTGAAGACCGTTTACAACTTACTGCCTGGTTGGGATTTAAGTGAGAGACACATCAGTTTATTCCTGAATTTGTTTCCACGCAGTTCACCAGAAGACCATGTAGAAATGCGTTATCCAAGGCATATATATTTGCCTAAAAATCCACTAGCTATACAGAAAATAAAAAGAAAAAGGCTATGTTTATATGTATGGGTTTTCATGTGGTTTGAGGCTGAAATTATCAGATCAGGGTTTTTAAAAGTGGCTACCAAGCAATTTCAGAAGTGCTGCTGTGCTTCTGACCGACTTGGGTAGCAGCTGCTGTGTCCTTTTTGTGGGTCAGGATGTTCTGGCCTTGTTTGACTTAAGGGAAGCAAACAGGGTTATGCTGTGCGTGGTTGTATCACACTGACAAAGCCGGAGCTGAACTCCCATGCTATGGCTAATTTAACAGCAGGTGAATGCTGAGAGCTGCATTAAAGCAGGTTATGTTACCATGCTCGTGGTTTGCATTCCCCAGCCATTGTTTGGGAACCCCACCCGTTTTGTGCAAAATGTGTTAATAGTCATCTTGTGACCATGAAGAAAAACAGAGTACAGCAAATCTTTAAGGTTCTAAAATCAAGGCAAATGTTGTGAACTCCGTGTCTTTGTTTTTGTAGATATTTCTGTCTTGGGGGAAACCAGTTCTTGGGCTTAGCAACGCTACAAGGGTTGGATTGAGGTAGGAAGCTTCACTGAGATTATTGTAGTTTTGCATTCATCACTGCTGACTCAGCTGTAGTAGCATGACCTTGTCTTGAGAAAAGATTGAGCCAAAACAGAGGGACGAGAGAGTTAAGAGGTGAAAAATGGAAAGACTTAATGAGAAATGGAAAAGACAACACTATGAAAAGACAACTAAGATGTGATAAATTTGCAAAGAAGAACAAACCTTAAGTCAAGTCCTGTCAACCTTTTTACAATATTGAAGAATGAAAATGGCTCTTGTAACAATGAAAAGCAATATTTAAAACTGTCCGTAGACGATATTTTAGCGCAATTCATCAGTTACTGCAAAATGCTATTGAGGACAAGGACACAACAGGGTTCAGGACGGCTCCGAGAGGCATAGTAGAAGTTACTTGGACAACCAGACTTCTGCTCTCTATAATCCAGTCTTTTCATTGCAGTGATCAGCCAAGAAAAAGGTGAACAAAACCCCATTTTTAATTTCACATTATAATGTTTTTAATTTTTCATGTTATAATGTCTTTATAGGTTTTTTTGTAGCATGCACTTGGTTTTTTGTCTGCCAAGAAGGCTGTGCAGTTCACTGCTAAGTCAAAGGAAAATACACATAGAATACTGTTGTTGACTAGTATAAAGATGTCTGTCTTTGAAAGAAAGTTGTGTTTTCCAGTGAGAAGTTATACAAATTGAAATAGGGTGAATACTGCCCATGATAGTAGCATTTCATAAACTTGTGCCTAGTTGCATTGCAATCTGCCTTTTGTTGTTTTTGGTTTTTTTTTAATAGAGAATATTGTTCCATTTATCTTTCTCTAGGTAGCTGTTCTTACGGTTCAGTACACTTGAGCAAACTGGTGTAATTTTCCTCTCGAAGTGGCTTTTTCTGCTACAAATGTTGGCAATTCATGCATTTTGGGTGCAAGATGGGCTTTCATCTTAATGCGCAGAACTAAGTCATTCAGTTTTCTTGTGTGGATCAACTCCAGTTTTGATGTCGATTTTTCACTCCTCTGCTTGAAGGGGCTAAGCTACATGAATCAATAACTGTGGAATATTGAACATTTCTGGATTAAAAAAAAAAAGCTCTAAAGGACTAGTCATCTGGCCATTGTACCTCATGAAAATTAAGTTTTTGTTAGAAAATGTATTCTTATGTTGGGGACTGATGGTAAGCCGTGCCGGACAGTGGCATTTTGACACCCAGTCGTTGCAATCTCAGCCAAAAGCCACATCGGAGCCAGCTTTATTTAGATCTGCACGTTAAACAGTTCAGGAGTGCCGCTTTGGGAAAGCGAAGTGGGGTTCGCCATGCACACAGTTGGAGAACAATCTCTGCATCTGCTATTCCTCAGGTTTTGTCAGGGCCCATAGAGCTGCTGATAGATTTTTTTTCAGCTGGTTGTACGTGTTAATGTTGGCTTGTCAAAGCAGTTTAGCATTCCTTGTTTCTGGATTCCACTGGAACCACATTCCTGAGGTGATACTGGCTCAGTATATGTCATATGGCTTGTACTGAAATTCGTGCTCTGGCTTTTAAGCAGCTTTTTACTTGTGCAAAGATGGCAGCCATGTTATCCAGGGCAAACGCAGGGTGGAGTCTAGTTATTAATCATTTGTGAACTGATCATCCCACAGCTTAGCGTCGTTATTTAGAGCTACAGAACACAATACACAGTATTTGATTCCATTTTTTCATGTTCCCTTGGACTTTGCTTTGGCAAGGGGCCAAAAGAGCAATCTTTAGAAATAGTGGTAACAGTTAACTGCCTTTATGAATTTCTAGATGCTTTTTTGCACTGAGCCTTGAGACCACAGGGAACGATGCTTTCCTTGCCCACAATCTCGCCAGGCTGCGTGCAGAGCATGGAAAGCCAGCTGCTCCACATGTGGTTTCCAGGATGGACCATTGGTTACACTTAAAGAGTTTAAGCTCAGTTAAGACATCACAATACTTTCCCCAATATTTTCCCTTTAACCTGAGCTTCGTTTGAAGGGCATGGTTTAGTTGAACTGTTTAGTTATGTGGTTCCTTTATTTTTAGCTTTAAACTTGTTTAACTCTGGCTTATTTTTAAGAGCAAGGCATTCCAAAAAGTTAAATTCTAGCTCAATTGGAACTAGCGTGACCCACTGGGGATGAAAAAGAAACAGGTAGTCTTAGAGTTTGTCAGCACAGAAAAAGTTTTGGTGATACAGCAGCGTGGGTAAACTTGCTCCCTGAAAGCATAGCCTGTGCTAGAGAAGTGTTTCCCACAATATAAGTTAAACTGATTGCCCTAATAAAAGTGTATTAAGAGGAGAAAGAATGGGGGTGGTGATGTAGCTTTATATTTGTGAGGGTTTTGCTGGCACAGCTATGCTCTTGTGAAGGTTGTGTTTAGTTCTCTTAATTGATGTGATGTTGGTACTACCTTTAAGTGCTTATTAGAGTATGTCCCCCTAGATCAAATGTGGCTGCACATAGAATTATTCAGGAATAGGTTCAAGTCTGGGCCATTTTTAATATGAATTAAAGTGTATACAGGCCATGAGTTAACTGTGAAAAGGGCAAAGAAAATCAAAACAAGCCATTGGAGCAGTTTTTTCCCGTATAACTAAATCAGTTAAATTGTTAGAGGGGAATGGGTACAACCTTCCTAAGTATCTGTGACCTCCTGGCCTTTCTCATGTACTGAGCTACTCCCAGACTTTCTTTAAATTTCTTCTTTAAGGAGTATTCCCATTTTTAACTAACTCTAATCTAGTCCAGTTAAAATCCTCCTTTTTAGGCTGTTAGTCAAGTATTTCTGATGATGTGGCCTATTTGAAGTGGACTGAAAACCCAATGAAGAGTCTCTGTCTTTGTTTTTAAAGTCCAGGTACTCTTATAGTAATACTTTATAAGTCCATGACAGCAATACTTGTAAGTAGGAAGGTTTTGGTGGCTTTACAGCATCGCTTTGAAGCCACAGTGAGGCACGGTGTGATTCAGCGGGTGAACATGGGTTCCTTCATCCTGTGCTGCATGTGAATATTCAAGTGGTTGATGTTTTGTGTAAACAAAGACATGCAAATATATCTTGTCCTAACTACTGACTGATTTTTGTCTTTTCCTCTTTCCATTTAGAGGACATTTTAGATGAGGCAACAAGAAAAGACCTTTTCACTGACACTTTCTGTAAGGTTTGTGGGGCAGTGCTGCAGTTTGAGTCTCAAAGGACATCACACTATAAGGTAGGCTGGAAAGGAAAATTTCTCCTAGTAAGCACTGTGGCTTTAGTCTTTGGGGTTTTTTTTGAGTTTCTACCTAGTGTTATAAAAGATTTTTATAGTGTGTTTCTCAAGGCTTATGCTAGGCTTAGACATTAACCAGACTTGAATGTTGTAAAGGTTGTGAGTTCAGTGATAGTGAAGGGATTTTAGGAGGAACTGAGCAGATTCAGGCCATGCTGTACATGGGATTGAAGCAGATCTGCACCACGTGAGCCAGAACATACATATGGCACAGGGCAGTGCTAGCTATAGAGGGTTGAGGTCGTGCCTTCTGACACTTCACCCAGCGATACACACGTGCTGCTCTGTGCACTGGTGCCTGCTCGAGGCAGGTTGTGTGAATCGTGCTGAAGGCATTTCTTGGAACAACTGTGTGCTGTAGACACGGGAAAGCATGCTTTATTTTGAAACTTGATCTTGAGGGTGTGCAAGTTTGCAGGCACAACTGTTTCCATCTTTTTCTTTCTTCTTGAAAAAAAAGTTTAAAATATCATTTGCTGTCAGAAGTCTTTCTTGCTATTCACATTATTAAGACTCAGGTCTTGCAAGGTGTTGTATTTACTTTGATTTAACTTAAGCAGCAGTTGTGCTGTCAGAACTTCATAGAGTTCAGACCATCAGTGTGATGTTCTGTTTCTTGGATCCAAATCCAGTTGAGGATAATAGATGCAATTGTAAAGTTACCCAACTTCACCACTGCAAGTCAAATTGTTGCAAATAACTGACTCTTTTTTTCTCAGTTTTATTATCTAACTGAGTATGATAGGACCGCTTTCTCTTTGATAATATTGTTATAATATCCTGCACTGCTCCTCAGAATCCTTAAAAGACATCTGAAAAGCATCAGATCAGAAAAGGCAAGTTACTACTTTTGCTTTATAGGTTACCACTGGATAGGGTGGCATGTGGGTAAGTGTGTTACAAATGCAAGAGTTTGAAGGTTATGGGTTGAGAGAACATCTAAGTATTAAAAAATAATTGCATCTGAGGGAAGTATATGTTAACACCCCCTTTTAGTTACCTGGACTATTGTATCCTCAGTAGAAAGCTGCAGAAATCTCCACAGACTGACTCCAAACTAGATGTACTTTAACTTCCAGGGAAACTTGTTTCTCTCCACTTACCATATGGGGAGACTAGATTTTTATTTAGGAAGGTAAGTTCAGTCTTGCTGCCACAACACAAGACAGCCCTGGCTTAGTGGTAAAGGAGCACAGCAGACTTTGTCTGTGGCATGGCTGCATTCCTTTCCTCTCCTATTTTAGTGTCCCTGTTTCTTAGGGAAAACGTCAGGATTTTTGATTTCCCAAAGAGTTGAGAGTAGATGACTCCGAGGGTAGCCTGAGACAAAATGTTATGAGTAATGCTAAGTACTATGTTATTGATGAAGCATAGTGTTGTTACATGAGCTGGTGTTTGTCCGCTTGTGGCTTTGCTTTATATAAATACAAATTGGCAAGTGTTAAAAGCAGTTTTTGATGAACGAAGTCCCGTATCACTGCTTGGATCCTTGTTACTGAAATAGGAATAATTCTAGTCTCTTCCCAGGGCAAAAAACATGCTCAGAAAGTTCGTGTTTACATCCAAACGCATGGTGAGAAAGATGAGAGACAGGAGCATGGCAAACAGAAGAAAACTAACTGTATCAGTTTTCAGGTGACTATTCCTCTTCATCGCTAAATAAAATGTTTCCTTGTGTACTTCAGTCAATGCTTGGAACTGAGCCTGCCCTTGTCTGATTTCAGATGGATGGGAGTGGAGTAGTGGACAAAAACAAATATTGCAATCTCTGCAACATGTTTTTTACTTCCCCAGTTGTTGCTTTGTCTCACTACTTGGGAAAGATCCATGCTAAAAAGCTGAAGCAATTATCAGGAGACCAAACCCACATGCCAGCACGGAGCATGCAGCCTGTTTCTGGTAGGAATTAAATAGTTTGCTTTGCATGTGTTTTACTGTCACTCTCTGAAACAAATCTAGAGAAGTATCTTCCTACACTTGCCATGTCTCTCTGCCTTTCTATTCTGCTGAAATTGTGGAGCTGTCTTGTGGTGACTCCTTAAGTAAATAAAGATACTACCCTGTGCAACTCTGAAGCCATGGAACCTTGCTTTCAAATTCCTTATCTTTCATTGACTGAAACTAAAGGCAAATATTTTTTATTTTTTACTTTTTATTAATGAAAGGTGTTTATTACTGTTTTGAGAATTCACTGCAGTCCCAGCAAGATGTTTCTCTGGTAAATTAATACAATAAGAAATTAAAAAACAATTAGTCCACGAGCAGCATTTAACTACTGTTAGTCCTGTACAAGTTGCTGAACTGTATTTAAAGATGGAGCATTGCGTATGTGCTCTGAATCACCCTCTGCAGGGTCCATGTCACTTCTTGGACTGTACAAGGACCTTAGAGTGACCAGCCATCAAACACAGCTGAATTTTAGGTATCTAATGGTGGAGTTTCTGTATATTCCAGTGTTTGTTCCTTAGCAGTCTGTGCTTTTATATCCTTGCAACGACTAAGATATTTTATAATCTCTTGCAAGTAGTTCAGCACCCAGCAGACTGTTCTCCTTTCTGGCTCTGTAGCTCTGTGGTCACCTGTTCTGTTCCATTGAATTGTTTTAGCCTTTCCTTTGCTGTGCTGTCAGCAGATTTATCCTCTACTTCCATGTCTCCAGTTTTACAGAAGCCATCAGCTGAAAAGCCCTTGCTGCCTTCAAAAGCTGAAGAGGCCTCATCATCCTCCAGCACAAGACTGAAGTTAAATGATCCAGACAAGTACTGTAAGCTCTGCTGTGCTCCCTTCAATAATCCACTCGTGGCCCAGCAGCATTATGTTGGTAAGAAACACAGAAGAAATGAAGCACGGAAAAAGATAATGGAGGAACTAGGAGACAAAGCTGTCCCTGAAGAATCTGGCACAAATGGTAAGAAAAACATGAGCGAGTGTTGCAATCTCTGAGTGTAGCTTGAGTGCTCAGTTCTGATTTGTTCAGGGAACTGCTCTGATGCGTGCAGGGAAATGAGTCTTCTCCTGTGTTACTGAACAAGTTCATTTTTTCCTTTCTGTTTGGTCTATGAACTGCTAAAGTTCTGCCTCTGACAGCTGTAAGTTGAAACATATTTCTTATTGCCTTGGAGACCCAAATCCAGTCCTCACCAAGTTCTGCAGTCAAATTCAAAGGATCATAGAAAATATCCCAGTCCCCGATCAGTTGTATCTGTGTCATTCTTAAGATGTTCATCCACCTTGTTCTTAAAAAACACCTGTGCTACAAACTCCACAACCTCCATAAGGAACATGTCCCAGGACTTCTTGATCTTTACCTTTTTGATGTTAAAACCTTCTACTGACATTGAACTCATCTCTCTCTGACCACAATATATTTCTTCACTGTGTGTACAACAAGCAGTAGACACAAGAATTGAATTATTTGTTTCCTTTTTGTCACATTCTTTAAATAATTGAAAACTGGTGTTATGTCTTCCCTTAATCTTTTGTTCATGAAACTGGTTGTCATAATTATTTCAATCTTCCCACATAAGGAAATTTGTTTCCTAAACATTGTTCTCTAGCCTCCTTTGTCCAAAGCCAAGGCCCTGTTGCTGTGCAACTTCCATTAATTTTGAGGTGGCGTCCTCTGGCCCTGTGCAATAGAACTGTCAATCCTTTCTTTAGTAAGGAATTCAAAATTCTACCTGATAGTCAAAAGCCACTGTTAGCATAAAACAGCTCTTATTAAGTCATGCTACAATTTAAACAAAATAATACATTTTGATGCAAAGCATTAGCCCGTTGCAATTAATGCTGCATTCTGCTAATGGATGAAGCTCTTGGGTTTGCATGGGGAAAAAGATTACTCACTGGTTTCAGAATACTTAGGTCTATGGATGGCACAGCTTGTAGGAGAGGAGAAAATGACAATCTAGAAAACACAAGGTTTTTCCTCATCTGATCTTACCTTATATTCACCTGAGGCTCTGTATACCATATTCATAATGTACTGTATTGATAATTCCCTCAGCATCTTCACAGGGTTGAACCAACACTGCGTGAACATTTGAGCAGGTAATGTATAAACTGATCTTATTTTAATTAAATCTGGACTGACTGGATTGGTATCTGTTGGTGCCTGCTTTGGGTCAGGTATTTACAATAGTATTTAGTTTTTCAGTACAGTTCATTCTCATCAGCACCTGACAACAGTTTACTGGAATTATCTTGGATCACTTCAGTCATCAGAAATACTCTTCATTAATGTTTAAACCATGGTTACACCTCACCAGCTCCCTTCATAAATACTATTCTAGTGTAAAATTGCAGCAGAGACTTTATATCTGTCCATAAACACTGTTTATGAGAACATTATGTTAGGACTCTTGCATGGGATGGGATCATGATATGCTTTGAGTTTTGCCTTTCATTTGCAATCTTTCTAACCTACAAGTTCCTTCTTTTCAGCTGTTGGGGTTGGTTATTACATGTGCCACGTATGTAATGTCACACTTACATCTATAGAAACGTACCAGTCCCATATGCAGGGAAATAAGCACCGGATTAAGTAAGTCAATAAGTCTTTTGTTACTATTCTTTTTTAGTTTGTACTTTCAAACTTTTTCATTAGCCCTGTTGTCTGCTATTAAGTGACTTTGACTAGTTTGTGGGGGTTTTGGTTTGGTTTACTGGGTTTAAGGGGCACTCTCCATTTAAACATCATACTTCTGAATGAAATTCAATCTTAAGAGTTCCCACAGTTGCATCTTCAATAACAACCTGCAGGAAAGGTCTTGAAACCTGTACAGTTTTCCCATTGATTTTGCTATCTGGGGATAGCAGCACCTATTTTGGTACAGCACCTTCAGTGCTCAGTCTGGAAGGAAATGGTCTGAACTTAAAGATTCCTATTGACGGGGCAAAGACAACCTTAATCCTGAAAAATGCCAGTCCCCATCAGTTGTGTTGCTTTCAGGATTCATCAACATGCATCTTAGATTTGGCATAAGATCATTTATGGGATAGATGATAGCTCTTGTACTTTCCCTTTTACCCAGAAGAGATCTGTGCTAATTGCAGAATGGATATTGTGGTGATTTAAGATGTACTTTTTAGAGATTGCTTTGCAAGTAGGCTAAATATCAAAATTGCTTACATGTTAGGCATTTTAATAAGACGTATTTTAAATGAAGGTGCAATAATAATATAGCCACAAGAGTCTGATGTAGAACTGATGTGATTTTAAATGTTGTTTGAGTCAAACCAGGGGAGTAGGGAACTGCTTCAAGCCTATCTGCAGTTTAACAAAATGAATGTATAAAGCTGGGGAATTAAAGCAGAACAAGATACATTTAGGGGACAGGTCTTCAGAGCTGCCCTTCCCACAGGGGATATCTTTGTCATCCAGCCAATTTATCTTCCAGCCTGACAAAAGGGAGAGTAGAACATAAACTGATAGGTGGTTTTGCCTTGGGAGCACATTTATCTTGTTTGGGTTTTTTGTGAGTTCTCAGGTTGGTTGTTTCTGTTCTGTTCTGTTTCTGCTGTGGAGTCACACAGTTTGCCTTAAATAACTGTACTGCAACTGTTCAATAGAATGAATCTCATAAAGAAATTAGTAACTTTGTTACTTGACAGTCAGTATATAATGTAGTAACTTCTTATCTGTAGCTAATTGGAGATTAGTTAATAAAAGAGAATCTTAAATTTTCTTTTTTAAAAGTAGTTTTAAAAATGTATGCAGTCATTTTAAAAGCATCTTATTCTTGCAGCGTCCTAGGTCGCAAGAAACCCATTTGGTCTTCATGAAGTTATTCCGGATTTTTGGTTTTCACAAAGAGTAGAATCTGTTTCCTGTAACTTCAGCTTTACAGATATGATCATGTGTAACAGAGTCCATGTAGTTACACAGAACAACACACTTGGAATATGTTCTTTTTCTAACTCTGGAAATAAGACTTTTTTTTTAAACTCAACAGATGCTAAGCAAATTGGTCAGTATTAATAACTAAGACTTTCTATCCAATTTATGCAGAGAAACAGCGCTTGTCGATCTCATGAAGAAATCAAAGAAAACATATGACTCCTTTCAAGATGAATTAACGGATTACATGAAAGTTCAGAAAGCTAGAGGTCTAGAGCCAGGAAGGTATTTAGGAAAAGCAGAAGAGGAAGGGTTTCAAGATAAAAACATTGAAGGAGGAAGTGACCTTGGTGAGGTTATATCTTCAAACTTTAAGTGTGAACAAACCCAGCATTCCAGTGTTTTCTCAGAAACCCAGTCACCTACAAATACTGGGGAAAACAAATGGCCAAGCTGGCCATCAGCTTGTGAGCATGCACTAGAAAAGACACCTAATTGTTGCTATAACAAGGGATACTGTAAAGAAGAGCAAGAGCTGCAAGCATCTGAGGTGGCCACCATAGGAGATAAGAGCTTCAGCCTGTTGGTTGCAGAATCTAAAGACTACTGTAAACCTATGCTTGCTGAAACTTCTACCAGCTCCTACAGAAAAGAACAGAAATTTCAGATAAAACATTCTGAGGTGGAAAAATACATCAGTGAAGAGCTGAAGTATAAGAAAGAAGCCACAAAGCAGAAAAGAAAGAAAAATAGTGAAGGTGCAGATTTCAGAAAAGAAAATGAGAAGCAAAAGAGAATGAAATTTGAGATAGACTTGGTAAATGAGAAGAAGTCAAGACCTTGTAAAGACAAAAGACTTAAAGAAAACCCCACTGAGAGAGAGAACAAAAAGAACAAAAAGGATAAAAAGAAGCCACAGACAGATAGCAAAAGAGAAGAGGAGCTACTTTGGGATGAATCTGTCTTGGGATATTGATAAAGGGTTTGCTTAGCTTTAAGTAATTGATTCTGTTTGTAGACTCACTTAACTATTTTGTACTATACTCCTTTTTCTTTTTAAGCAAAGTTTTTGTTACAATGTGGAAGTGAGAAAAAGCCTGTCTTCTGAAATTTTTGGGCAGTAAGTAGACATTAATTTTTAGTCATCTTACACATACAGCAGCCATTGTAGTGATGTGAGTTTGAAAGTCTGTAATCTCTTCTGGAATATACTGCAAATAAGGGTCAGTAGCTTATAAAGTACTGTTGGAATTTCACCAAAATGTGTAACTTCTTTCTGATATTAATGGTGCCTACTATTGAGGTTTCTGTTATTCTTCTAGGAAAGTACGTAAACTCGTAAGGTAATTAAGGGCACTACAGTGTTTTGGGCCATGTCTGTAACCATTTCTCTGACAGATTTAAAAGGAGAATGTGAAAGGCTTTTGATTCCAGATCATAGGTGTATTTGCTATTGGAGTTTTTTGGTTTTGTTTTGTTGTTTGGGGTTTTTTTGTCACCCAGTTCTGAGTGGAAAATGAGTCTATTAAACACGCAACTGTTGTCAGATATACATTGTCTAGTAATTTTTTCTCATTGTAATCCTGATTTTTAGCTTAATTTAGGAAACACAGAAAAGGTGCAATATGCAAAATTAATTGCTAACGTGAGGCTACGTTCTTCATTCACTCAAAGTAACGTACAGAAGGAATGTTAGAATGAAGCTAGATTTGTGATCCAAGCAATACCCTGAAAATTCAGCAACAGCTTTCTTATTTCCATTTTAAATGTCATGTCACCAGACCTTCATTCGTGGTGTGGATTTACGTTATTGTGGCATGAGCACTGGTGTCGTACGTATGGCAATTAATTGAGAAACTTAGATGATGGAGTTCAAGCTCTTTGTGTTGCTCCCAGGACTCTCGGATAACTTTCAATGAGCCACGGACACTGGAAATGCATCAATCTCTACAGGGCTTGGAGCAGGCAGGCTGCCCAGGAGGAGGGGAGGAATTGCAATGCCTGCCTGCAACTGTGCAGAGCTGGGGTTCTGTAAAGGATTTGAAGGCTGTGTGATGTCTTACTGGAAACTGCTGGATTGAGTACATACAGTTAAGCTCTCAAAAGCAATCATTTAAAAGCAAAGTCATAAGACAACATTTAGTATCTCTTTTATTGCCTTCAGGTTGCAAGAAAACTTTCTCTGAGCCTTGATGTGGGATCTGAAAGCCATCACGCTGTTGAGTCGCACCACTTAGAGTGCGCTTTCCACTGGGTGAGGCTGTTTGTAGAGGCACCTGTGCTAAGTTGCTGCTTTTGCTAAATCTGCCCAACTGAAACTTTCTGTTGTGGATTGTTGTGGTGTGGGATGGAGTAGAGACCAGGGCTCTCAATCTTGAATCCTGTCTGATTTGGTTTAGTTTTTGTTCTGTGGGTGTAAGAAGTAGGTTGAAAAGCCCTGAAAATAATGTAGTCTGCTTTATTTTTTAAGGATTTGTGTTTTGTGGTTGATTGCAATCTTGGATTTAGACTTTTGCTGCTGCTGATAAAGTTACAAATCTGAGTAGTCAGCGTGTGAGCTGTCAAGTAACTTAGTCCATCCTCTATCAGACAAGCTAAACTAGATACATGTACAGCTAAACAAAGTTAAGCAGGGACATGAAGGTGTCAGTCTCAGGAACCTGAACTCGGAGGTCCATGGGGGACAGTTTTAAGTTCAAAGTGTACACAGGGTCCTTGTTCTGGTCCCCTTTCCTAATCTTTCCTGGTCTTTGTTTGAGGCTGATAATGCCTTTGCTTTCTTCAGTGGCTCTTCGTCTCTCGGGAGTTACATGCTTTTCTGTGTCTTTCCAAGGACTCTCTCCCTGGTTTCCTTAGCCCCTGCTCATCTGGAGTCTCAAGTCACACATTAATAACTGCTTTTCTCATTATTTACTTGGGAAGAGAGCAGATTGGATCATAACTTACGCTAACTGTTGATGACAGTTGTGAGCTGTTGTAAACTGCCAACTGCAGGCTGCTTGTGTTGTCCCACAGTGTGACTGGGGAGGTTTTTAAGTGCTCTCTCCTATATATACTCTTTGCTGTGAGAATAACATGGGCAACACTGCAGCTTGTCTCCCATGTAAGACAAATAATGACTTTCTTTTCTCTTGGGACACCTAGTTTAGCAAACTAGGCCTTGTAAGAACTCTTTGATATTTCTGCCGCTCTGTCAAATAGGACTGTACAAATATGGCCAGTGTCTTCACAATTGTTAGTAGGCAACCCTTGCTCCATATGGTCACGTACTCTTCCTTTCCTTAGGAAGTCAGCCTAAGAAAACAATTAGACCTCCAGCAGAGGGAAAGGCCATGATGTACACAAGGAGCAGACTAATTGAAGGGAAATGAGTGCCAATTTACTTTTGAAATAAGCATTCCACTCTTGGAAATCAGGAGAAGGAGATTAACAGCTCTGAAAATATGGTAAAAGCATGGGTTGGCAGAACAAGGAGATGTTTTTGGTTTTTTTCAGTGATCATTCCCAAATCTGTACTTAAACTCTGTACCCTCCTCGCCCACCCCCTGGAAAGTGGTTGCACAAACTATGTGGAATAGCTCTAAACAAAGTTTCTTGGTATCAGACATGAAAGATAGGATCCCAAAAGATGTGTTCTTGCCAGATTTTAATTAAACAATGATTAATCTACAATGTAAATGCTGCGAATGAGACATGGCAGATGCTCATCTAGCAGAAATGACTTACAGCTCTAATTTAGATAAGTGATATCCAATTTTCTAACATCATAAATAATGATTATTGTTCATGTGTTTCCTGATTGCCTCGTTCCTAGCCTTTCACATTTGTGCCAATCGTTAGCTACGTGCTAGACATTTTAAAATACTAGGCACAGAGATTGATGACTTTCTTTACCCTTTACTGTAAATATGTCTTCTTTCACTTCTTAGTAGCAAAGAAATCCACACAGCCTGTGATGAAAGCTAATTCTGCTCATCTGTTCCTCCCATTAAAACTACCAAAGCATTACAGTTCTGATTTGAGAATCAAGTCACAGATTTTTCTGTCACGTCTGAGCAGAAGGACTTGCAGATCTGCCCTGGAGTCAGTGGTGGTTTATGCAGGCACGAGGGTTGCTCTGTGAAGGCCAACAGCACTAAATTGGACCTGTCTCCTCTTCCAGTAAACCTGTGTGCTGCTTGGCTTTGTGAAAGAACTGCTGCGTATCAAAAAGGCAAGTTAAAACTGTGTACATGCAGCTTAGTACAAAACCAAGGTTAAAACTGCCAGAGTTTAAAACTGGGCTTTAAGTGAAGACTCCTGCATTTCAATTTTGGCTCTGTCTGGTTCACCAGGTCACCTGGATCAAATAATTCTTCCAAGGCCTCTTTTTTTATCAACACATGGTGCAGAAGGGGACTCTGGCAGATTTATCCTGCCCGTGATGTGCCCCTGAAGCAGACTGCTGCTGCCAGTTTCCTCTCCTTTCTCCTGAAGGTTACCATCCCTGTGCCATCCGTGTGTCCCTGCACCCACTGTTCTCCTTCACAGGCAAACAGATCAGCTTAACCCCTGGGAGAGCAGCTGCCATTAGAGGGAGGCAAGGCCACCCTTCTGCTGGAGCAGGAATACCAAGAAATACCTGAAAGCGTTGGAGTTGCTTGTTCAATGAACACGTAATAGAGCCTTGATGCTCACCTCTGAAAGCAACTGTCACATTTGGTGTCCCATGAAGAGTGGCATGACTCTGCTGTTCTGCGAAATATTGTCACTTTTTGATTGTTTGTGTTCCTTTTCATGATTTTTTTTCATTCTGGTGTTTTCCTTTTCATGACTGCCTGCAGTACGTGAAAAATTTGTGGTGAGATCCTAGAGCGAGGTCTGTCTGAAAACGGCCGCAACTGAAAGAGGACATCTCTTTCTGCGTCCCGTGAAGTGAGCAAGAAGTTGTTTTCTCGGTGGAGGGTTCTCATTTTGAAGTCTTGCGATAAAAGGCAGAACCGCTGAAGTCGCCTTGCGTGCCCTTAACCCAGGCTGTGGTTTCAGCGAGGCACACTGGGAACGCTAACACCTGGTGAGTTAACCCTACTGTTGGCCTGTGAGACACCATCCTCCTCATACCGAACCTGCTAAACTTGTCCGAGCGTATTTCTATAAAGATTGAGAGGCATTCAACTGACATCAGTGTAAATCACCTGAATGCAGTGCCTTGAGCTGCATCTCAAATTTACCATGTGTCTGTGGAATCAGATCACAGTGTAAAAATGTTGTTTGAGCTAGTTAGGGGAATATTACAGTTTAATTAAGGTGGGATTTTTTCAGCATAGAGCTCTTGGCCAGCGCTGTCATCCAACAACACAGAAGCTGACAGTGTGCTTAATGGCTGTATTTATCAGCCAGAACACCAAGATGAAAACACCACGATGAGGACTGGCAGATTTGGATTCTCTTTCCAGTCTTTCCACAAGCTTCTCCTGTGATTTACAACTTGCCAGGAACGTGGTGCCAGATGAGCTTTTCCAGCTGCAGCTTTTTTAACCTTACTGTGTTACAGCTGCTGGTTCTTCTTCATATCCACTGGTGGAAATGACCTGAGGGTGGAGGCTACAGCCCTGCTGGTGTCTTTCCAGCTGTAGCAGTTTCCTGTCCTCATATTTTCGGAGTGAGGTGGTGAGCAGCTAGGCACAGTCTCTTTTTAACCCCGACCAGCCGTAGCAGTTCTTGACTATACCCTCACCTGGTGATGAATGCAGGTATCACAAAAGTGGGTCACAAAAAATAAATAAATAAATAGGAGACCGTAAATAAGTACAGTGCCATAAATCTTTCTGTGGGAAAGCTTTGGAAAAAAGAGCAAGTGTTCCTCATCTCCAAATAAGCTACTGTCCTTTGTTTCAGAGAGCTCGATTTACAGGTGAAAGCAATGAAATGCCATTTCAGCCAGTTATTTCTGGCAGAGCAAAGCTTTAGGTATTGATTCCTATTGAACTTTAAGAA